TTTGGTAATTTTCCTTGCAGCACTTCATAAGGCTAGGAAAGGAGGGAAAACAAGGAACTGAAACACAAAGTAAAACTAAAGAAGACAGAACAGAGGAGAGAGAAAGACAACACAATCAGTGGGGAAATAAATAATAATACAGATTTAGATATGCAGGAAGGAAAATTATCCCAGAAAATAAAACACAAAAGGTAAAGAGGGAAAAAGTTACTCTTTTTTTTCCCACGAATAATGAGTGCTATTTCCAAAAAAAAAGCCACGAGGGCAATCAGAAATGAAAATAGAAGTAGATAAGAACTCCTTAACTGAAAAAAAAAAAAATAAGGCAAGGGTTTTTGCTTTTATAATAAAAGATAATGAGGAGAAAGAGGGAAAGTGGCAAAACTCTTAGATCTTAGCACTGTGTCTCAACAGCAGTCATTTTTTCGTGAACTTTCCAAGACAGGGCTTTCAGACTCCTTCCCCCGAATACCCAAGTTTTCAAATTCAAAGCCTACATCAGACTGAGGATTCCTGCCTGATACATCCTCTTTTTTTTCTTACCCTCACCTACGCTTCACTTCTGCTGAGATGCAGGAGCAGTGTTAGTGCCTCTCTGCACATCCCCAGCAATGCTTTGCTACTGGGAGAACCCTTGCACAGCCTAAACAAGCTGCTGCTCTTCCCAGCTGAATGAGATTTCTGTGTGTTTCCTCCTCACAGATTTACACCTCACCTGCACCACAGGCTTGTAGACAACCCAGCTTGGGCTCAGCTTCCCTCTAGCACCAGGAATAGCGAATGTATGGGGGTGCCAGTGCCAGCTCACTCAGGGCAGTGTTTTCTCAAGGCCCAGACCCACTGGGAACTTACTGTGTACATCAAAAACATCACTCCAGTCTTAACCACGGCTAAGTGCTGTAGATTGTATTGTGAAGGACCTGATCTGTTTACTATGAATCCATTGTAACTTCTGCTTCCATATTTCCTTTAAAGAAGTATTCCTGGATGTTACATGACAATTTTATTATGTGAAAGTACATGCAAACTGTAGAGTGTATATATTGTGTCATTATACGGGGTCCACGGATGGTACACTGTGTTCCATGGCTTACACCAGGGCAAACTTCAGTTGTTAAATCCTGAAAGACACCTTGAAGCACAATTTCCTCACCACTGATTTGCCATATAATTTACCACATTCAGCCTTTCCTGTTTTCCTTTACTTGCAATCTGATCATGCTAAAGCCTGATTACAATAGTAATTTTGTGAGGACAAATACAGGTTTTTTCACATCTCGGTTCACTTAACTATTAACTTATTTGAATGTCTCCAGTTTATCCAGACAAATCTGTAAGTTTAAACTATCAAAAATTTAAAAACTTACAACCTTTTTTTTTGTTTTCTTTTCCTTTTTCCTAACTCTTTATGGTGCCTTTCTTGCCTTTCACACGAAGCCTCCTGCTGATCTAAACATAAACATGCAGTTAGGGTTCAGTTAAGGAGAAAGAGATCGGGCACATGGCAACTGTGTGTCTGTAACGAAACTCCTTTCCCCTCCTTGAGGAGATTGAAAAATCAAGGCATCATGAATTGAACACCACTCTTCCACCTTCATCTGTGTGAGCAGATGATTGCACCACATTGTGTCAATGGGAGAATTGAGCATTGGCCCTGCCTGTACCAATTCCTCACAGAAACAGGGCCTTGGGTTTTGCTGATAATTTATCTCACGGAAACTTGGTATTTTTGCCTTAAATGACATGCTTGAGTCCTTCTAACTTTAAGTTAATTTATTTAATACAATTTTGTGCACAAAAGAATAAGTTCTATAAATTATGTATGAAAATGTTAATATCTTTACAAAGTACTAATAAATCCAGAAGATCGTATCTTTTCAAATTATGGTTTAAAATCCTAATATGTTTTCTTTTATGCTCACCATTATTATTTTTGCAGCTGCAAGTCTTACAATATAGGGGTTTTTAACATAATATTGATAGGAAATAGAAAGAGTAGTGAATATATGAAATTTTAAAGAGGAAGAATTGTTTGTTTGGATTTTTATAAGTTTTACTTATATTTCCTCATGAGGAGTTTCCTATTTCTATGCTCTCTCTTTGAAAGACAGTGTCACGACTGACAGTCATTCATTAGTTTCACAAAAGAAGGGCCTGTCTGGCTTTTCAAGTCTAGTCCTGCGCTGCTTATTAAAGTCCAGCTCATGACAGCTGTGTTCATGAGTCAGGACAAAAGACAATTTTTTTTTTCTGATTTACAATCCACTTGAGGATTGTTGGAAGAGAGAATTTGAACTTAAGTAAAAGATTCAGGAATTAAGCGTTATCCAAATAACTGTCTTCTGATCAGCATGTTCTTCTACCTGAATGGAGAACTGAATAGTTTTGATGACTATTATTTGTTTAAGAATTTGTATTTGCTCCTGGCTTATATTATCTATACTTTTTATTTAAATATGGATATGATGTTTTAGCCTAGGGTTCGAGATTGCAAAGATCATACACTTTTATTCACAGTGCCCACAGTTGTTCCATGTTTTTGAGATAATCCTATTAGAGTGACTGCTCTCATTATAGTATGGTGATGAGTAATTCACCTGCTTTTGTGATAAGTCAAATCATGCTGAATGGCTGACGTATAGTAGAACATCTGATGTACAGTACTATTTCTGGATTGGGACCTGCAATCCTTACTCAAGCAAAAATTCTATGGAATTCATTCATTCTATGAAATTCAAGAATTTTTCTTGAATTGGGAACTCAGATTCAAATCTTGATATTGTTGGGCATCTGTTTAAAGTGAAAATGGTAATATTCCAGTTATTTCCTGAGGAAACTAATATTAAGCTGAATTTACCCATGTCACATTGACTATACAAAAAATAACGCACAAAGTACTGATGTACAAAGGGAAGAAGTGAAGGGACAATTTTAAAAAGCACAGAGAATTATCAGAAAATTGGAGTAAGCAGGAAAATATAACAGCAAAGGAATGAAAAAAGGGTTTAAACACCTGAGGCTAAGTTCATCCTTGGATGGCTTCACTGACTTCAATGCATTCACTGCCCAACTGGGTGAAGCTCTGCCTCCGTTGGGATAACCAGGCTCAGTTCTACTGGCCTTAAAGGAACTGAACACACCTATACCAGAAATGAACTTGCCTCTCTGGGCCAACTTTTATCCTGACTCATATGTCATGCAATCCTTTTGGATTCACTAGGTTTGAATGAAATACAGGTCAGAAAAGAATTTGTCCCAGATATTTCTGCTTCACATTTTTTTCCAAGTGTGTTAATTGACTTAATTCAAATGGATTACAACATTACACAAAGTGCTGTCACTGTCTAAAAAGGTTAATTAGTTTTTGAAATAAGACTTGTCCCCTGCAACGTCAGTGGAATCATGCAATATTTTCCTGTCCATTCATCTGGATGAAAATATGGCTATTCATTCAGTTGTGGCCACACACAGGACAATTCCAGACATACCCAATATCATCTGCTATTGGAAGAATTTTTGACTTCTTTGAAAGACAAAAAGACAGTTTTGTAGCAGGCTTAGAAAGCACGATGGCTGCTTCCACTGACACTGCAACAACATTAGCCAGTACATTACAATATTAATTGTAAATTCTTGACAAAGTTGAATCCATATTGTTGTTAATAAAAATTATTTGAAAAGTACCATGGTTACTTGTTTTTTTCCTTACATAAAAGATTGTTTGGTGTGACTACATATCAAGGAAGAAAAAAAATTAAACTTGTTATTGTTTTCCTTTTGAAGTTTTGTAATTTTTTATTAAATGAACACCACAAAGTTCATTAGAATAAAATGCACAAGAACCAGTCTGACATGTTCAGCTTCTGGTAACTGTTCACAGTAGAGTTTACTTAATGTTGCAGCACCTCTACAAAAATGAGTGTGGAAGTTATTATTGCTTTCCCTGTTAGATAAATGGCAATTGGTTCAGGATTAGCAATCAGGGGCCTGTGCAGGGAGCAGGATTCATCGTGGAAGGCACTTCAGTTTAACCTGAGACCTAGGTGAAGCCCTTTCCTCTGCATTCAACCATGGAAGTTGCTCTAGAATGTTACTGCATCAAATCTAAAACAATCATTCACAACATACCTTCTTTCCCCAGTGTGCTCTTCCCACAGCCCTGCTGAGGATAACCTTCTGTAATTACATATAAAATACTGAATATAGAGAGTCTGTGCTGTAGTGAAGTTCCTGTCTCTATGGAGGCTTCAAAATCAGAGCCAGACATCTCCAGGTACAGATGATCTCCTGCCTCTCTGGTGAATGTAATCTTAGATACTGAAATTTAAAGACACAGTTGCCAGAAAGGCAGGTTTCCATCTCAGCCATTTGTACCCACAGGTTATGTGAACACTACCAAGCTCTCCCTAAGAATCAACACAGGTCAGGGAAAAAGGCAAATGTACGCATGCTCTTCCTGTGTGAAATGAGGCAGCCTTGCTTATGTGTGCACAGAGATTGTAGGGAAGGCTCAAGAGGCTGCAATGAGAAGTTTTTCCTGTTGGGTTACTCAGCACATTGCCATGCCAGGCACAGGCAGTGATGTACATCCTTAAAGACACCTGTTCCTGTTCAGTTCTGCACAACAGGAGTACAGGACCCGCCTAAAAAGGAATTGATTAGACATTGGAATGGCCTGCCCAGGGAGGTGGTGGAGTCACCGTCCCTGCAGATGTTTAAGGAAAGACTGGACATCGCACTTAGTGTCATAGTTCAGTTGACATAGTCTAGTTCGGCCACAGGTTGGACTCGATGATCCCAGAGGAACATTCCAACCCGATCGATCCCGCGATTCTGGGACTCCCTGAGAAGCTCGAGTGACGAACATAGACCCGCCCCCCCCGCGCGGAGCCAGCCAATCACAGCTAGAGAGTGCTCCGCCCCGGCCAATCAGTGCGCCCCGGGGCTGAGGAGCGCCAAACCCCGCCGCGTGAGCGGCGCGGGGCGGTTGGGCTGCCGCCATGTCCGACTGGGACGGGAGCCCCGAGGGGGAGCGGGCTGTGCGCCCCCGGCCCCGGGCCGCCCCTGCCGCCGGCCCGCAGTGCCGCCCGCCGGGCTCCGCTCCGCGGGGCCGCGTCCCCGTGCAGGGCGACGAGGGATGGAGGGGTGGCGGGCGGCGTAGGAGGGGCGCGGTCAGCCCCGCAGAGGAGCAGTGGGAGCCGCGAGGCGGTGACGGTTCCGGCGGCCCGGGGCGGGCGGCGCGGCAATGGAGGCCCCGAGCGGCCGCCGGCCGGGCGCCCAGCACCGAGCCGCCCCTGTGCTTCCACCTCGACAGCGCCCTGGTCGGGGCTCTCATAGGTAATGACGAGTACGCCCCTGCCCCCCGGGCGCTTGTCCCGCTGCCGTACGGGAGTGGGGAAGAGCAGAGCACCTGGCCTCCCTCTGTGTCCCGAGGGAATGCATGCCTGCCTTCTGTCTCTCCAGATGCGGAAGGGCCCCACCCACGGCTGGGTGCTTTTGCAGGGTTTCTGCCACTCACCAGGGAAGCTTTTTCTCCTAGAGTGGTTGGTTTGACGTCTGTTTCTTATAACCAGCAGTCTGCAAGTGGGCTGAAGCCCCTGTCTAGTCACCTGCAGGAAGGGTGGCAGTCTCTTGAGCTAGTTTAACTGCTCCATCTGTTCAACTGAGGAGCCTTCCCCTATACAAACACCTTCTTTTTTGTTACTTACCAGAAAAAGTTACCTACATTTGCCATCAGTTTGGTGTCAAAAGTTCTTTTCTTTGTGGATGCATGCGCATATGAAGGTCTTGGGTTTTGGTCACAACCAAAATACTTACAATTAATGTGCATTTTTTGGCAGTTTGTCCTAAATCTGTGTAATACCTGCTGCGTATCTTTATAACAGGTAGGGGCGGAACTAAAATTAAAGAACTTGAGGAATCTTCAGGTTCCAGGATAAAGGTACTATGTGCTATGTGTCATCAAGATCTGGGCTCTGTTGGGAACATACTTGGTTTTGTTGCCAGTTATGTCAGGAAGCTGAAGGGTGTTTCAGTATCTTAATAATTCCACTGTTTTACAAGTATTGATAAAAAGGAAGTGGACTTGATAGTGCAGTTTGAATGGTATGGGAAAATAGGAAAAGGTGATTACATTTTTTTTTCCTTAAGTGTGCATTTATTTCCTTTTCTTTTAGAAAGAATTCTGCTCTTGGGAGGAGAATTTAAATTTCAGGGGAAAAAAGGGTCAAATACTGGTTTCAGTCTTATTTAGTCTCTGCAGTATTAAAAAAAAACTCAGTAATGTTTTGTGAACATAGATTACAAGAGGAACCTATGAAGCTGAAGTAAAGATTTTTGGCAGCCTTGATGTGCAAAACAAAGCCAAGATGTTGATTGACGATGCTATTCTGGAAAGTTCTGGACAAAACAACAACAGAGGTTGGACTGAGAAAGGCAAGTGTAGGTTTGGGGGGAAAATACTATGGATTGTCTTTCCATATATTTAGTAGTTTGGTGAAGTGTTTTTATATTATTAGCATTTTACAAAGTGAATTAACTTTTACCTTATTCTGGGACAGTGGCATACCTCCTTAAAACAGAAATACCTAGACCTCCATTATTCACAGTTATGGTCAGTTTTCCCCTCCCCTCACCCCAAATGCCAGGCTTCTGTGAAAATCTGTTCCTGTGTTTTTTCAATAGTTTTAATGGATGCAGAATGTTATACCACTTGGTTTCTTGCTTTATCAATCTGACTCCTTCAAAATACCTGTATTGGCTCTAGTGTAAGCTTTAATGTAGTATCTGTGGGGTACTAAAATTCAGTAAACGTTTGTAACACTAGTCTGTAAAGTGCTGATTGTAGCGTGGGCAGTGCTGACATCTTACTACTTCCATGGGAAGTTAATGTTTAAGATTTGATGTTGCACTTTAGGCCTGGCTTTACTGGGCTTTCTTGTGGTAACTTTGTTATGTGGATACATAAATAATTATTGTATGTTGAGATGCTGCTTATATTATTGATATGTCTTGTATGTGTTCCCAGCAATTTTTACACAGGGAAACACCATCCATAGTTGTTGATCTGAGGAACTGATGAGGGAGAAGGTATCCAAGGGCTGTGTTCCAGGGTAGGAATGGGGTAGTTCTATATTTTGTTTTTAGAAGTGCCTCAGAAAATGGATGGGTATGTTTCAGGAGACTAGAAATAGTTAAGACTTCCTTAGTATGTGTGACTGTGTTTTCCCTGTATTTCCTACTTTTCTACCAATTTTCCACATAGTTGTGTTGCCATTTATATCTTCAGTGCAAAACCTTACTTTCTTACTTGCCTCATCAAAGAAGAAGTACAGAATATAACTAGACTCAGACTTTATATTGTGGTGGTGTTGGATGCTTTTGAAGTAAACTTTGCTCTTGTAGCTCTTAAAGCTTTCTGTCTGCATATCATCTACTGGATTCGCAAGTTTCTCAAGAGCCTGCTGCACAACAAGCCTTACTTATAGCTGGAGGAGCAGCATTTCAAGATCTGTTATTATGTTATTTAAGTAGCTAAAGAAGTTGAAATGTGTCCGTTTTTTTGTCAGAACTGAATTTGTACAGGTTTTAGCAATATTTCATGGCAGAGACCTAGGAAAGAATTTTGCAGTTACATGTTTCATGTCTGTTCAAAATCTATGAGGACTTACTTTAGAAAAAGGAAATAAGGGGAGAGATTTCTGCCACACACTGCAACAGATTCCATCAAACAGCATCATTTTGGTACTAACTTTGCAGGAAAAACCTTAGATGTTATCAAGCCTGAAAATACCCCAAAGAAATCGGTGATTAATTGGGACTCTCTTCGAGAAAACAGAGCCAAATATGAAGCTATGAAGTGGGCAGGTTAGTTTTAAATTTTGATTGTATGATACTTGTTTTTATGTGGTAAATCTGTTGAATGCTTACATGTTTTTAATTGGACATTTGCAGTGAAGTGATCATTTTAGCACTTCTCAGCATGGTCATGGAGAACACTAGTTGTTGTGGAAGACTCAAACCTGCTACTCAACTGGCATTTTGACTTCACTCCTTGAAAATAATGTTATTTTATATGTGGCCACAGAAAAAAAAATCTGAGAATTGTTAAATATTGGACTATGTATGTTAGTAAAAACTATTTTAGAACTTGAAATGTAGGGAGACAGCTCTTTTGCAGACACTGAAGTGTTTGTCTCAGCTGTCATTTTTACATGGGCAACAGTAGTCTTTATCAGTTAACTAGTCTCCTAGCTTAAGTCACTGTTGAGGTTTTGGGATTTCCATCTTAAGCTTTAGCAGACTTACACTGAATCTGTATTACTTCCTGCTGATTCAAGTTAATTTTTCTGATTGTTGAAGACTTGCCTCCAATTGAGAAAAACTTCTATAAAGAATCATTAAGGACTGCATCTATGTCAGAAGAAGAAGTGAAATTGTGGCGGTAAGATCATTCCTTTAAGAAATCAGCTGCTTGGCAAAAATTGCTTTTAAGGTATAAACCCTAGAAAATAGGAGATGAAATGCTGAGACAGAAGCTTTAATGTTGGTGTCTTCTTAGGAACTCTTTCTTGGGAATGAAACAATAACTAGCAGATGAGTTCTTATTAGTTGCTTGGAAAATTAGGTATTATCTACTTCTCTAAAAGTGTTTTGTCTAGTTAAATTTCAGAACAGGAAAATCTCAAGATGTTTCACTTGGCTTTTGGCTGTTTCTTTGCCTTTCATGGAGACAGCATGTTCATGTTTTCTAGATCCTTCCAAATAGGATTATTCCCATGTTTAATACCTCTTGGCTGCCATTTTTCCCACATGTATTTTAGTCAGATACCATCTTCAAAACAAATTTTAACTTCTGTTACTGTTGTCTTCCTTTCTATCTTGTCTTTATAAGTACATCCTGGTTAGTGTTTCAGTTAACTGTATCTATTCACTTTGATACAACAGTCTCCATCAGTACTTTGCAAGGAAAACAGATCATTTTTTTCAAGTGATTCAGTTCAGGCTTTGGTTATAGTTTCAACCCTTTTCAGTAGTTCTAATGAAGATGGTGAACATTATTGAAGTGTTAACTTTTTATTATTCCTTTTTGCAAAGTGTCTTTTTTTTTCTTGCATGCCAGAGAAACTGCCACAGGGAGCAAAGCATGGAACTGACACTTAAAGTATATGTGTGTGTTATTGTTAGAGCTTGTCAGAATTACAGAACACTGTTTCATAGGTTCAGAACATATATTGAGGAATAGCACTTGTATGATAAAGGAATGATTTTTCTGTTTCATCCAGTCTGTTTACTTTAAGGAAAAACAAGACAGTAATTGAGAAAACTAATTCCATAATCATGAGGGGAAGTTGAATTGCCCATTCTTTTCCTAGCTTACACCCCACTTGAGGAAAAAACTTTTTACTGAATGGAATCTGCAGAAGGGTACGGGACTGAAATTAATATGTTTATGCGTATTAATATCTCTTAATTGGGGGCAGCCTTGGAAGATCAGTTTTTAATGTAGTTTTTATTTGTGTTGTGTTTTGGGTTTTGTTTGAGTTTGGGTGGTTGGTTGTTCTGGGTGTTTTTTCTGAACTTTTCTTGCTGATCACTTTGTTCCTAAATTGTTCTGTTTGTATTCTCTAGAGTATCCAGGGAGCTGCTCTGCAAATATTCAGGAAAGGTTTTTGTCAGAATATAGGATTCTGACTAAGAAGCCCAATCCATTCCTCGGAGTTCTGGGTTGTCTTTAGGTTTAAAAATTCACCACAGTTACTTAATTTGTAATAGAGTATATTGTAGTCTGATATAGCAGGACTACAGTTCACATTAATAGCCATATATAACTTCAAATTAGTTATTCTTAAGAAAGAGTGGTAATTGATGCCTCCAGGAGAAATGTTTCTGTAGTAAGACTTTCTTAAGAATTAGAAGAATAATTCACCCATTCAAGAACCTGAACTTGTTTTTTTGTTGTTACAGGAATTTAAAAAAAGTTAAGAAGGGCAGTCTTTTGTGTTAACTCTGCTTTTTCAGATAATGAGACTTTAAAGAAATTGCACTGATTTAATTCTATACAGAAAAGAAAATAATAATATAACTTGTGATGACTTAAAAGAAGGTGAAAAGCGTTGCATTCCCAATCCTGTTTGTAAATTTGAAGATGTATTTGAGCATTATCCTGATATTATGACTAATATAAGAAAAGTTGGTTTTCAAAAGCCTACACCAATTCAGGTATGTCTTCAATTTTGATGACTTTTCAACTGAAGCTTAAGAGAAAAGTAAGAAGTATATCTGAGTATTTTTTGGTTTATGTTAGTCCCAGGCATGGCCGATCATACTCCAAGGAATTGATCTTATCGGTATAGCACAGACTGGTACTGGGAAGACATTAGCATACCTAATGCCTGGATTCATTCACTTGACTTCACAACCAATGTAAGGACTGCTCAAATGTCTGACTTGTTTAGCTGTGCATACTTCCCCCCACACCCACCCTCTATGTGATGATTTTCTAATAAAGTGAATAAAAATCATACATTGGAAGAAAAAATATAAACCAGGTGAAATAAGTCCCAAACTTGTCAGCATAGATTCTGCTAGCAGCAGTGTACTGAGGACAGTATAAAAATGTTTGAACAGTATAAAAATGTTTGAACAGTATAAAAATGTTTGATGTCAGATGTGATGGACTTTGCCTTTCCTTATATACCTACATTCTACATGTGCTTTGTTATAGAAGCAAAGATCAGCGTGAGGGGCCAGGAATGCTCGTCCTTGCTCCCACTCGAGAACTGGCACTTCAAGTGGAGGCAGAGTGTTCAAAGTATTCATACAAAGGAATTAAAAGGTAATTTGTTTCTCACTTGCTTGTGAAGTAATTTTTTTTGTCCTACCACTTATAACTTAATTCTCTTAGTAAAATAATTGCGTTGTAGACAGCAATAAGATCTTCCTGATCCTTCTCCTCTTCAGGATGCACAAACCTGGTTACCAGCTTCTCATGTCATGGGTTCCTTGTCATGTCATGTCATGCACATCTTGACCATCTTGGTAGCTGCCTGCTGGAATTGTTCCAGAATGAATATACTTGTCTTGTAATAGAGGCAGGGGGTACTAAAACTGGATATTGTGCTTGAAATGTGGTGTCACAAGTACTGGATAAAGGGGAATAATGAGTTTTAACCATGAGTTCTGCTGGCTCCCTTCTCCATAGTATACAGCTGGTTTTCTTTTCTGTGTGGTTACACTGCTGAATAATGTTTAGTTTCTTGCCCACCCAGATCTTTTCTGCAAAGCCATCTTCTAGCATGGTGGTCCTCAATCATGGGATAATTGCATCCCTGTCTTTGCTTTTGTTAAACCTTTGTGGGATTGCCATCAGTCCATTTCTCTAACTTCTTGTGTTTTTTCTGAGTAACAGCCTAACTCTCTAGTGTATCTAGTTAACTTTGTATAGCATTCGGAATAAGTCTTGTCTTCACTTAATAGCAAAACATTTGACTTTTGATCATAGTGTTTAGAAAACCTTTCATACCTTCATCTGGTTTTTGTGTAAATATTTTCAGAAAAACTGTTACACTCCAGATTTTAAGCCATAACCTGCCCAGCGCAGTTACATTTTGTTTAAGACTTTTTAGAAGTCTTTTGGTTCATTATAACCTCAAATTTACATCCGGAGAAAGAGTCACATGCTGTTCTCTAAGAGAAATTCTTTTAATTTAGAGAGAAAAATAAGGTATTTTGGCAAAAGTTTTTACAGGAGTAAAATTCAATGAAGAAAAGCATTTTACTAAAACACTCAGCAAAAAAACTCAGTTCCCAGAAAACACCCACTGCAAACAATCAATATACCAGCTTTAGTAAAACATAATTAATTGGTTTTAAGTTACCCACAAGAGAAGAAAAAGACTAAAAGAAGAAAATAGATTAAAAGGGTAAAGGAAGAGAGAAAGAGAGAGAGGAAAAGAAAAATGGTTACCAACAAGATTTGATGATTCACGTGGTACAGGCAACAGGAGAGAAGAGAGAGAGCAAGCTCACATGGAGTTCTTATATAGTTCAGTTTTCCCTCCCAGGCAGGACATCCAGTCAGTGCCTTCCAGGCCAGAGTGAGCTGTGCTGTAGCAGTCACAGGCTGCAGGGTTGTGGTGTGGTCGGGCTGCCAGGCAGGCCTGCCTTGACTGACAGCCTGGCTGCAGGGCCTGCAGCTCTGCCCTGTGCTCTCAGGGACCCAGCCCTCTTAGCTGCAGGCTCTGTGCTCTCAGCAGGCCTTATGTGGTAACGGCAGCCTTACCAGGTACCTGCAGGTCCAGGCCCAGCCCTTCCCCACACACACTCACAGTGAGTTGGTTCCAACTCATATCAATAATTCAGTGAGATTCTGATCCAGTACCTCACAACAACCCAAAACATACTCAAGCTTAATAGCTATCTTCCTTCCTTTCGTGATTATTTGCACTGCAGTTTCAGCAGAAAACTAATGCTGAACTGTTGAGGGAGTGTCACTCGGTGTTAATTTCATTAATTATTGTGAGACTGTCAGTCACGCTTACTGTATTCCTTCCTCTTGTTAAAACCAGGTGATGCTTTCTAAAATGAAGCCATATGTTTCCATTTATTTGAAAAGGATTGATTTTAGTTACAACTTAAAATATTACTTCTAAAACATTTTATTTTACAGTATTTGCATATACGGCGGTGGGGACCGAAAAGGACAGATAGATGTGGTTACCAAAGGTGTGGATATTGTTATTGCTACTCCAGGCAGACTGAATGATCTTCAAATGAACAACTTCATAAATTTGAAGAGCATAACATACTTGGCAAGTAGCTGATTTGGAATGAGTAATGCACCAGTTGGAAAATGGTTGACTCAATTTGAACTTAAGCTTTAATGGAGTTTTCTTTAAAGTTCTAAAGTCTTAATTAGAACTTAACATTGAGATTGATGTCAGAGGGATAATTCATACTTACCATAATTGCATTGCAGATGTGGAATATTCTCTAGAAAAAAACAAAATAACCTTCTGGTACAGTAGGCATTTTAAAGATGCTAAATTGTTACTTCAGTAATGTTTGGTGTTATAAAGTTTGCTTTGTCAGGATTAGTTACTAGTGGATGGAATGCCTTTCCAAAGTTGTCTTTTCCTTTTTAAAGGTTAACTGTGACTCAAGTTCTTTCTGCAACTTGTGCAATAAACACCAACATCACACACAGGTCTTTAAATGTCGGGGACTGACTTTCTTTTGATCTCAGTGGAAAAATAACTCTGTAAACATGTATGAATCTGTGTGTCTTCATTTCATTTTTGCCTTTTGCTGTACTGGACACATAAAACTATTTGTAAGATATTTCAGTTTATTCAAATTTTTTCTAACTTGTCTGTTTAACCAGTGAGTTGCTGCCTTGTTTGACAATTTGGCCCCACTTTCTGTCCATTCCCCTCTGAGAGTTAAATGCTACTATGCTGTAGCAAGTTAGCTGCAATTTTAGGTAATAGTTGTGGGCTTACTAGCAAGTAAAACAATGTGTAATAAACCAAAATCAGATGTTTCGGTTCTTTGGAACTTAGTCTCATAAAGCAGAAGTAAGGAAATTGGAATTGTGCTTAAATTTAAGCATTTAGGAGAAAGAGTATAATAAAAATATATATGTCATTCATGAAGTAGATTATAGAGGGTAGATTGAAGTAGTCCTTTTATGCTTCAAATACAAAAAAAAAATTGTAAAATTTACCCAGAACTTAACTGAAAACAGAGGAAAGAATATAATTTTCACATTAAGAACTGGCTTATAAGAATTTCTTGCCAAGAAATAGAACTTATATGAACAATATTAACAAACAAGTAAATAGTATAGATAAAAAGAAACCTAAGATTGTGTTATTTGGGGGACATCCAGCTTATAAAACAGAAACTGGCTATGAGACATTTGAAAAAATTAGTGCTAATAACTACTTATCTATTACAGCCTTTCATCTTTATTAGACAGCTGTCTGAAAAAAGGGAAGTAAACTCCAACTACTCCGATCCATCTAACAGACATACTTAGGTGCCTTTTTTTTTTACCCTTTCCAGCAAAGTAGCAATGTGCTTAATAGCACAGAAGGCTTCTGCTGCTGATAAGGGCATAGTAGCCAACTCTGTATATAAAATTAGTAATGTTTCAGCCTTGCCATCCAATTATAATCCATATGGTTAATGAAATCTCTCTGAACCTTCTGAAAGTAAAGGGAATTAAATCAAGAAATAGAATTCTTGTCTTCTGTCTCTCAGTTAATGATTTGTTATTACTTCAGAGATTTACATAAATAATGTCCTAAAAACCTTTTATATAAAAAAATCCGAAAATAATGGAACAGCAAAATTGGGAGAGTAGAAAGAGGTTATCATCAAAATCTTCTATAAGTGACTAGAAAATATCAGTACTTAAAAACACAATTCATAGAACTTTAATTTTCAACTAGAGTTTGTATAAATCAAAGGAGATAAATGAGTCTTGGATGTCAGTCTTCTTCCTTTGTATGAAACTGCAATAATTCACAACTTCACTTATGAACTCTAGCTCCAAAGAGTTGTAGTCAGTCCTTTTCCAGCTCACTTGTTCTCTTCTGGTTTTTTTTCTACCAGATGAAACAAGCTTGAGCTTTGGGAGTTCTGCAGAGTTTTGTCCTAGTGTGAGCCAAAACGTATGCTCTGGCTTTTTTCCTTCTTCTAATGGGGAACTAAATTGATAACTGATATTTTGATCCTATATGAGATCTCTAATGAGGTAGAAATTAGATTTCCCCTTTAAATTACCAAAAATTTCTTACTGAAAGTGTGTTGTGAGGGTTGTTCCCCTCTGGGTTTGGTTAGTTATGATTTTTGTTGTGGTTTTTTTTTATTCTGTGCTTGGTTTTAGGCATCCAGCAAATTACTGTTAAAAGAAACAATTGTTTTATCTTCATTGAGTTTGTGCTCTTAAAGGTGCTGTGGATATTCTTTTTCATTTGTATTACTTAATGAGAAAGTGACAAGGAAATTGAAGAGGTAAAATACAAGTTGAACAGGTTTTGCCACAAGTTATGAAGTGGATCCTGCAATTAAAACTGTTACCATTAAAATCATCTGCTGTGTAATGTCATGCTGAAAACCTTATGTAAGGAACTAGGCAGAATAAATCACCTTGTTTCTGAGCAGGTTTTAGATGAGGCTGACAGAATGTTGGATATGGGATTTGAACCTCAGATAATGAAGATCCTCATAGATGTGAGACCTGACAGACAAACTGTTATGACAAGGTATCTAAACATAATAGTGTTCAGTACTTGAACGCTGTAAACATAAGGTTATTGAACGAGTTCATTTAAAAACAAAAGGGTCAGTTTATTAAAACTTTTGCTAGTTTAGCTTCTAATTCTGTCTATCAGTCCTAATGAGTCATTTCACTATATTTTTTCCATTTTATACTGCCTTTTCTGATATTTTATATCAGAAGTGAATCTTTTTCAACTGTAAAGACTATCAAGTCTCCCAAAAAGGAGGTGGGACTGCTAGAATTTGCTATATCAGTTTGAAGTGCCAACTTACACTTCTGCATCTGGGACCATACAACTATCCTGACCTTCTGATCAGTGTCTATGCTAGTCTGTACTTGGATTAATTTTGAAGTTTTGAAGCTTTTGGGAACTTAACAATAGAATATCCCAACAGTAATTTTTATTACTGTGTTTTGCATTGGAGCTATGGTTTTAGAGATGAAACTGACTGGAAATTTGCTTATTAGGTATTGTTGAACTACTAAATTCACCTTAGGCTTCATTAGAAAGGCTCCATAATTGTTGTGTGTACCTTTAACCAAAAAAGTTGTCTTTCAAGCTCGAGTGCTGTTTACGTTCTAACTATTACGTAAGCTGTATTATTACCACTGTAATTGCATGCAGAAGTGTTTCACTGATGTATAAGGAAAAAAAGAAAGAAATAGGTAAAATTAATGAATTGGAAATGATTTTGCACACTAATCTCACATGTCTGTGTTCCTCTTCACTTTCTCTTTAGTGCTACTTGGCCTGATGGTGTTCGTCGCCTAGCAAAATCCTACTTAAAAAATCCCATGATTGTATATGTTGGCACTCTTGACTTAGCAGTAAGTTGTCCTGTTTTTTTTTCCTTGCTTTTGTAAACCTACAGTTAAACCAGGAAAGTTTTTGTTTGTAAATATCTGTAACTAAATGCATGTAACTTTTAAAATCAGTCTGAACTTTCGAGACTATCTGTTTTAAAGTTTCCTTAAAAGTTTAGAACCAACTAAAAATTAAAAATGTATAGAAGAGCTTTGTTCTTTATGCTTCTGTAACAACATCTTGAAGTCTTAGCTTTTCAGCAGAAGACATCACAAGCAACAAGTATCAGTCACATTGAATGTTTGTTGTGCTTTGCCAGGTGGTTTTGCATGAACCCTTATTTTTGCAGCCTTCACTTCTGTTCAGCAAGTTCTTGTACCTTACTTAGTTTTCCTTCTGAAGGCCTTGCTTCTAATACAGATCCTCATCTGAACTTGTGTTTCCTAACTGCTGCTTTCTCAAAGGGAGTGGGAGCTCTGTACCAAACTCCTGGAGGGCACTTGTCTGGAATGGGAAGTATGTGTTAGAGTAAGAACTGTCTTTAAAGTCCAAAACTTCTAAAATGTGGGGGTAGTTGCATACTTGTCATTGTTGTGTAGCTACGATAGTTGGCTTCAGTACCAGCAGAATTTACAGAAACAGTACTTCTCCCAAGATCTTAGGAAATTTTCCTTTTCAGTTTCACTTTTTTTAGTGATAGCAAATGAGGAAATTTAATATCCAGTACACGTTTAGGTAGAAATGGAGGGAAAATGTGCTTTTCATCTATTCTGTTCAGAACTACACTTTTATCAAAGGGCATATCTTGTCAAAGACAGAAGATAGGAATTTCAAAGACATCATCTGCTGTTGTAGCTCTCTTATATAATTCCTTCATCTCTTTTTACAGGGGGGAGGGGTCTTCTCTTAGTTGAAGAGGTGATGTCTGGGGAGAAGGGAGAAGGGTTTCTCTGTGGAAAGAGAATCTTGATGTATGTGATTCTTCAGCTCTTGCCACAAGAACATGATACTATGCTCTGAGAATGTCTAGACCTTTATACTGCTCATGTGGTGTAACTTAGGCATTCTGTGGTCACCTTCAGATATAATGGAGCAAAGATTTTATTAATGAACTGTTGTTGGAATAACTAGACAGAACTGATGATTTCAAATAGATTTACAGAACCTTATTCAAAAGGCTTGTAATTTCAAGTGAGACTGACATTGTTCCAACTTGCTTTGGATAAACATAAAATACACTCAGAGTTTCAATCTGATTTTCACTACTACTAGAATTATTTATTTCACCTCACTAATCTGTACCCTTTAAATCTCTTCAGATACATAGATTGGCAAACTACTTAAAGATAAATTTTAATATTTTCCTAAAACAACTAGGAGACAAAAAAATCTCCATTGTTTGAACTCCAAACTGATACATAGTTTGTGTTTTAAATAGTTTTTCATGGTATTTTTTTATTAGTTTTGTAATACGGGAATTAACGGGAAAAAATATTGTTTCAATGTGTTTCTACTTAACATCCCTTTTTACTGTTTGACAGGCAGTAAATACAGTAGAACAAAGAGTTGTTGTTATTGCTGAGGAGGAAAAGAGAGCTTTCATGCATTGCTTCATTGAGTCTATGAAGCCAAAAGATAAAGTCATCATTTTTGTGGGAAAAAAGCTTACGTATGTAATCACTTTCCAATATCACATCTGTTCTTTTTTTGATTTTTTCCCTAACAAAAATACTTAGGAGTTTCTTAGTTCACATAATTATGACCAAGTGTAGGAGCTCTTGTCCACAATGTGCTGGTAGTAGTACTATTTTTATTTATTTATTCCTTCGTATTGACCGTATCTTTTTTAACATCATTAGTGGTGGTCTCAGGTTTTTTCACATAAAGTTATATGTTAAGATTGTTGGGGATACGTGAATGCAATGTACTGTTTACTTTCGTACACAGCTGATGCATACAAGACCTACTTGGTGAGGACTTGGTCATTGTACCATACCTGAACTTTTTAACTGAACAATGCAAAAATAATTTGATATTTCTTTTATATATAAATAAGGGTAAACATTTCTGTGGGGAGTAGTCTTACTTTCATACTGTTTTATAATAAATGTCTGCTGACCTAGGTATGGTTTTGTCCTTGGGCATACATTTAGCTTTTGTTGTCATGTTATCTTTTTGATCTAAATCTAGATACTGCACTATTTTCTTTTTTATTTTTTTTTTAAGAACCATTACTTTATTTTATCCTAGAGCTGATGACTTAGCAAGCGACTTTGGTATCCAAGGAATTCCAGTACAGTCACTTCACGGTAACAGGGAACAGTGTGATCGAGAACAGGCTTTAGATGACTTCAAGAAAGGTGAGTTTGTACTGAAGTACTGGTTCGTGTAGGCAGGCTTTTAGAGGTTTTTGTGTTCAGATACTTGTCTATTTGTAAGTGCTGTGTCTCTTTAGTACTGTAGAAATGAAGATGTTAAAGAGCTCTGAATTATGTGTATTAATTTGACAAACAAAGAAGCAGCAAATAAAGAGATTGCTCTTTAATAAAATTTGGAATGTCTTAAGAGTTTAGTAATTTAAAATAAGGTTTATTTTAGTACTGACATCTCTGGAAAAGTCAGTATTGTGTTAGTCTACAGAATGGTAAATTTAAGTGTCAGTGAGGGTGCTTTCAGTGAAACAGTTCTGCTCCAGATTATGTCAGTAGGGTTATACTTTGGGGTTATGTGAACACCTGCTAATAAACAAGAGTGTTAGTTGAGAATATGGTGGTTGAAGTTTCTGCTCTTTTCACAGACTCTTTATATCATATAACAAGGCATGTTTCTTACTTCTGCACCCTGCTGTCCTACTTATGAAAGGCAAATAATAGTAGAATGATGTTCTGAGTGCTTACCACCTTGAGAGCTAGCTCAGTGTGATCTGCAACGAGCATTTTTTCCTTTATGTGTTAAGAATAATAAGCGCATTAAAAGCTTATAGAATAAAAAGCTTAAGAATAAAAAGTGCATTAAATAGGCTGGAGTATGTTTTCTGTTTATTCCATAAATTCCCATTCTTTTTCTGTTGTACTTATTTTAGGCAAAGTTAGAATATTGGTAGCTACTGACTTAGCATCCCGTGGCCTTGATGTGCATGATATTACTCATGTTTTTAACTTCGATTTCCCTCGCAACATTGAAGAGTATGTTCACAGAGTAGGTCGTACTGGAAGAGCAGGGTAAGTGTTTACCAGAAAACAGTAATGTATTATCAGTGTTTTGTTATGTTTTATGCACTGCATTCTTGTCAAGTTTTAGAGCTACAAGTGATGTGGGGTGGGGAAGTTAAGACTTCAGTCTATCAAAGGATGGTTTAGAAACACACTGCTTTGTTTTTTAAATTGTTTACCTTCAATTTAACTGAACTAAGTTTTACACTTTTCCTCTTATTGAATGATGTTTGAAAGCTCATTTAAATGTGAGGAAGAATTACAGTTCAAAACAATGTCTCCATAGATATTCTGAAATGTTGCTTCTTTGTTTCTTTCTTCATGAGCTGCTAAGTTGTTTAATTTTCTAGACAGCATGTTAGGGGAAAAATATCTATAAATTCAAAGTCTTCACCTATCATGGTGGTGTAATTTGGTGTTCACACTTTTGGATGCTGCATCTCTGGGTTGGTACAAGTGTGATTTTTTTCACATATGTGTTTATTTTAATCATGATACGGATGTGTGTCTTTTCATACTTAAATATGTTGTTTTTATGCTAGGTTCATTATCTAAAAATCTGAATTAGTTGTGCCTTTGCTCCATTTCAGGAGAATTGCTGTATTCTGATCTTTATGAACCGCTGCTCTCTGTCATGTGCATAGTAAATACTCAAGCCACTTTCATCTACCAGCTCAGTAATATTTCCTGTAGCACAGTTTATTAGTGCATAGGTCAGTAGAAAAAAAACTGACAACAGTTGTTTTGAAGATCAACAGTTACCTCATTCCTTGTCTAGGCGCTCTGGGGAGGCAGTAACACTGGTCACGAAGAATGATTGGAAGTTTGCTTCTGAGCTGATTGAAATTCTGGAAAGAACGAATCAAGTAAGAATATATTACTGGCTAAGATTTATACTGGTTCTAGGTTAACACCTGAAGCAGGTCATGAAGCCTATTTAGACCTTTCTTGGTGAATGTTTGTAGGGTCTTGAGGAAAAACATGGGTATTGAAGTCTCTCTTGTCCTGGATAGCCTTAGAAGTATTTTACCTTACAGGTGATTCCGAAAAAAAGAACTATGAACTTTAAGCAAAGCCTTCCATGTCCAAAGAAAAAGTAACTAACATAGGCACACATTGAGGTCTGCAGGAAAATAATAGGGTCTATTTTATTATATTTGTATTTTACTTCTGGATTCATGTACCAATGTTGTTGTTTAAGTGTAAATATTAACAATATTTATATCAGAAGAAGCTCAACTATCTATATTTTTATTATATCTGACAGTTCTGGTACCTGCATGTACTTTTCCAAACTATCTTTCTTACTGATGCTTTTAAATAGTATGGGAAATAGGACTGGAATGTGATTTCTTTCTTAAAGGAAATATATTTTTTTCTTGACACCATATCTGAGAAACCAGAGACAATTGTGCTGCTGTTTCTTGCTGTAACAAGAAACAGTATTTTACCTGATTTATAGTAAATCCCCAGTTCATGCACTGTCTTGAGCTGAAATTTTGCTTGGTTGGTTGAGGTTTTTTTTGTTTGGACGGATGGGAGCATTAGTACAAACTAAATGGCTTTTACCTGGAACCTGTGGTTGTTACTGTGGACACTCTTACTCAAACTTTAAAGCCTGGGTTAGAGTTTCACCTGAATCTTTTGGTTTACAACTCTTCTTTGAAAGATGTTATGTCACTTCATTGCAAACCTAGTAAGATGCTTTTGAGGGAGGAAAAGGAGAAAAAAAAAAGCAGTTGCCACCTAATAATTTCTAAAGTTGCAGATTTGAGGTTTATGGTTGAGCTGGGGTTTTTCTGGGTTTGGTTTTATTTTTATTCAGAAAATGTAAGAGGTGAAACCAGTAATGATACTTTGAAGCTACTTAAGTGGAAATTAGTGGTGCCTTGTTTTGTATTCTGAGTCAACCGTTACCTTCCAAGCCTTGACTCCAGGTGCAGACCACTGGTTTGTGTTTTTTGGTTTTTTTTTAATGTGTGATAACTCAACTGGGAACAGTCTCTGAGTTCAGAGGATCTCTGAATCCTTGCTTTCAAGGATTACTTTTAGCCACAGCATTATTCTCAAACTTACTTTCATCTGCTAGGGAAGTAACCATAAAGACGAGATAGTTGGTTTTTGTATTTTTCTCGTGACAATGGAAATACCGTTATTTCAGTCTTAAAGCATCATGTAAAAGGGAAGAAGAGCAACATGATCTGAAGGTTCAGAATACTTCAATTTCAAAAGAAGTAAACTGCATTTGTTAGCCAGATGTTCTCCATGTATCTCCTATATCCTTGCTTCTTCCCACTCTTGCCTTGTGCCTGCTCAAAAACCACTCTTGAGAGAAATTGTTGCAATTTTAGTTGGAATAAATTATGCTTCAAGCTGTAGGAGGTCTGATATTGTGGAAGAAAATCATTCAAACTTTGTCTCATTACTTCTATCTCTGATGATAATAGTCCATAGTGACTTTCAGCTAGAGATGCATCATTTTTCACTTTATTTTTAAATAATGTTCTAAAACTTAGGCAGAATAGACTGTTCCAGAGGCATCATGTTCTGTGGACTCCTGATAGCCAGGGCAGCTGTTTACCAGTAAGAGCAATTCACCACATAAAATACATACTAGTGAGCTGTCCCTTAGGCCAGCTCAAGAAGAAGTTGCTGATGGCAAATGGCAAGCGTTGCTGAATTATAAGACCTGACAAAAGAAATGGGAACTAGAGGAATATACCTTCCTGCTCCATCAGACCCTTTGTCCTGGCTGCATTTTCTTCCTGTCCAAGCACCGCCTAGTCTAGGCATTCTTAGGAAGATGTAAAAAGTTTTGCACTATTATTGTTTGCACTGTGTTTGTGCCACTGGTAGAGGGACAAATCACACAGACTGAGCACTCACACTAATACCACGTTCACACACTGCATTTTGCTCTGATCAGGACACTGATTCTGGGCTGGGTGAGCTCCACCTGCTGCATGGCTACATACTGTCACAGGTTGTTGAAGCAGGCTGGTTTTGGTAGGTTCATGATCCAAGACCTCTTTTGACAGTACAGTCACCCATAATGCTACTTGCAGTACACATTGCATTAATGTCAGCATTGTGCCTGACCTGGTTTAAGGAGACTTGTTGGACACTGCCCTTTGACGTGAGCAAAAGAATAGTTTATGTTTTTTTCATTCAGTGGTCACTGTCGCTCAGCCTAATAAGTCTGTTGGTAATCCTTCACACCAGGCTTTAGTCCTTATGAATGTGAGCAACTCTGAGGTGTTGATGATACTACTCACCTTCTTTTCCACATAATTACAAACATGCCAAAAAGATCTTACTGAGGGTGCTCTTGTGACCTCCCAGTGGTGGGAGAACTGACTGCTTTCTCCTTTTCTTGATTTTTAGAATCATAGAATTAACTGGGTTGGAAGAGACCTCCAAGATCATCAAGTCCAACCCTTGATCCAGCCCCACTGTGATTACTAGATCATGGCACTCAGTGCCACATCCAGCCTCATCTTAAAAACCTCCAGGGACGGTGAATCCACCCCCTCTCTGGGCAGGCCATTCCAATGCCTGATCACTCTCTCTGTAAAGAACTTCTTTCTAATATCCAACCTAAACCTCCCCTGGCAGAGCTTACGCCCGTGCCCTCTTGGTCTACTGCTGATTGCCTGGGAGAAGAGACCAACCCCTACCTGGCTACAACCTCCTCTCAGGTAGTTGTGGAGAGTGATGAGGTCACCCTTGAGTCTCCTCTTCTCCAGACTAAACAACCCCAGCTCCCTCAGCCTTTCCTCACAGGACTTGTGCTCAAGTCCCTTCACCAGCCTCATTGCTCTTCTCTGAACCTGCTCCAGCACCTCAATGTCTTTCCTGAACTGAGGGGCCCAGAACTGAACACAATGCTCAAGGTGTGGCTTCACCAGTGCTGAGTACAGGGGAAGGATCACTTCCCTGCTCCTGCTGGCCACACTGTTCCTGATGCAGGCCAGGATGCCATTGGCCTTCTTGGTCACCTGGGCACACTGCTGGCTCATGTTCAGCTTCCTGTTAATCAGCACCCCCAGATCCCTTTCTGCCTGGCTGCTCTCCAGCCACTCTGTGCCCAGCCTGTAGCGCTGCAGGGGTTGTTGTGGCCAAAGTGCAGGACCCGGCGCTTGGCCTTGTTGAACTTCATTCCATTGGAGTCAGCCCAGCTCTCCAGTCTATCCAGGTCCCTCTGCAGAGCCCTCCTGCCTTCCAGCAGGTCAACACTTGCTCCCAACTTGGTGTCATCTGCAAATTTACTAATGGTGGACTCAATCCCCTCATCTAAATCGTCGATAAAGATGTTAAACAGGACTGGGCCCAGCACTGATCCCTGGGGGACACCACTGGTGACCGGCTGCCAGCTGGATGCAGCCCCGTTCACCAGCACTCTCTGGGCCCGGCCCTCCAACCAGTTCCTAACCCAGCACAGAGTGCCCCTGTCCAAGCTGTGGGTTGCCAGCTTTTCCAGGAGTATATTATGGGAGGCAGTGTCAAAGGCTTTGTTGAAGTCCAGATAGACACATCCACAGCCTTCCCCTCATCCACCAGGCGGGTCACCTGATCATGAAAGGAGATCAGGTTGGTCAGACAGGACCTGCCCTTCCTAAACCTGTGCTGGCTGGGTCTGATCCCTTGTCCATCCTGTAGGTGCTGTGTGATTGCACTCAGGATGATCTGCTCTTTAGCAGATATCTTTAGCAGCATATCTTTTAGCTTTGTTACATGCACATGAGAACTGTTCCTATCACAACATTTTGAAGTCCCAGAATTTCTCTTTAAAGTCTCTTAAAACTTCCATGAAGAATTTAATGTCAACATTCAAATATATGTATATAGCATGGTATTCCATTAGTGGCATTGGATGTTTTTACCAGCTGTTCATTATCACTGAAAGATAAACTTCTCTCTGAAATGCAGTGATGTAATTAGCTGGTTGTATGTTATCATCAAATATGGTCATACAAGCAGAGGTATGTAATTAAAAATACAGAGACACTATTTTTCAGTATATTTCATTACAATTTTATGTAAAAAGATTTCTTTATGCATCTCTACAGAAAAGAACCTGCAAAGTGACAGAAGCCAGATAAATAATCAATAGCATTTTTATAAAGCAGAGTCTGAAATTTTAGATTTATGTAAAACTGACCTTGTTTTTCTGCTGCTTTCTTATCAGGTAGTTCCTGACGAGCTTATTGCAATGGCAGAAAGGTACAAAGAATTTCAAACCAGAAAAGAAAAAGATATACAAAGACCTTGGAGAAAGCTCTAAAAATAACTGTAATCCCTTGAAGCTACTGAAACAAAGTGATTATAGTAGTGTTAGCATCTATGGGCTTGAATTTATAAGTTTCGTTTCTCATTTGATTGTTTTCTGTACCTGCCCATTTAAATAAACCATTTAAATTGGTTTCAGGGGGGGTTTAGTTAAATGCAGTACTGATATATATGAATATAAAATATAATTTTTCATTTTATTTTCAGAGAACTGAATTAGTCATTGTAAGCAATGTTTGCCAATGTAGCTTCAAAATACTGTACTTTTGCCTTGATGTGTCACATCTGCCACAGGCACAAAGTATTTCTAAGGATAACTTAGTTATTTGAAAACTGCTCTCTTTGTAGTAACTTCTGTTTGCTAAAGCAAGTTTTAAAGAAAACTTAAAAGTCTTTTTTGTTAAGACTTTTTTTGAGAGGTCTGCATTTTCTTCTAATGGAAGAGAGAATGACAAGAAGTCTATTTTTGTGGTTAACTGCGGAAAAAACAGCTTCTACTCTTATTTTCACGGATGTAATATTCTAGCATAAAGAAGAAAACCAGAGTTTACTAGAGCCATGTTAACAAAAGTCATGGAGAAACGAATACGCTTGAAGGTCAGCTTTTATTTCCTTCAGATAAAGTTGATTCACATTTTATATTTGGATGTCAGTTTCTGTCACACAGACTCCTACAGACAGTGGAGCATATTTTCTCTCTTTGGAATTTATATGGGAAGAGTTTGATGCTTGGTCTGAACTTGTGTTTATGTGTCATATAAGTAAATTAATAAACTGAATTTATTGAAATGAAAATATTTTAATGAAATTATTCTATAAATGTTCTTTTGATCTTGCCTCTTTATTTGCTCAAAATTGAGGTGGAATCTTGGCATTATTTAAGCCAGTAGGTTATTTTGCCTTCAAAAAGTAGGCTAAAAATACAGACTTGCCACGGCTTCTTCAGGAAGATGCAAAATATGTATTTACCTAGAGCTCAGCAGTTCCCAAATGCTGTGTATTTCTCACCTGCACAATTTTAGTAATAGGAAATAATTTTTTTCCCTAACACACATTTCTTCAACATGAGAAAAACAGAGCTGAATTTAATTTCAAGAGTGTCACATTCATGCTGCATTTTGGTTTTGATAACCTTTCATATCAAGTCTTCCTCTTTGATAGGGGTTGAAAGATGCATTTCTTTCTACAAGATTCATGATACAAATATTCATTGGCACAGTAACTTTTACTGAGTTGTAGCGTATTAAATAGTGGTTGCTTCCTATCCAAAGTCCAGTGAAAAGACTCAATTCCAAAGAAATTCTGAAGACTCAGAAAGGAAAAGTTGCTTCAGGAACTTCACGTTATTTTGATACGAAATTCTCTCTATTCACCATTGCTGGTGATTGTCCTCTGCAACAGGTCTTCATCCACTCAAGCAATCTGGCATTGTTCTGATTAATGTCAAAGTAACTCCAGTGACTTTTTTTTTCTTTTGAAAGCAAGAGTGTATTTTGGATATTCTGCAGAGGATCTTCATTTTAAATAGTCATTTTTCCCTTTATGCACTTTTTGATGCCTTTGTACTTAGAAATGTAGAAATTACATGTAGGAAATCAACTATTGCAAATTCTATGTATCTTCTTAGTGTACCTTGCATATAATTTGCAGGTGACATCTGCATTTGGATAGGGAAGGTAAGTATTACTTAAATCATCCCATTTCTTTTAAGGATTAAGGCTAAGCAGTGTGACTGAAGTATGCAATTTTCTCTTGGTCTTCTTGATTTTATTTTGGTTTTGGTTTTTTTGGGTTTTATCACCAGACTACTGAAGAGTAACTTATGCTACAGAACTTTTTGTTTTAAATATGCAAATATACATGATTAGATAGCCAATGTAAACAGTGAGTTTAACAGCTCTCCTGAAATATTGGGAATCTGTTATTCAGTTGATGGCTTATCTGTCTTGAAAGGAAATGATTGCTCGCTCTCTCTTGCAGACTGAGCAAGTTGTATTTGGGAATAAAGAAGTGCGGCAGCTGAGACTTTTGCAGGCACTCCATGAAATATTCCAGACATTTCTGAAAGCAGTGATCCAGGTCTTCCAAAATCCAATCTGTGTCATTTGGCCACATGACACAAGAGTGGAAAAGAGCAGTTTTGACATGATATGAACAGAATTTTTCCAGCTCTTTTGGATATTGCATTTTAAGTTGCTCTAGAAGATACTTCAGCAGCTTAAGACAACCTTTCCTGTTAAATAAATAAGAATTTATTAGGTACCTTCTACATAGTTCTAAGTATATATTTTAGATACTTAAACACAAAGAATTATGCATTAGTTGTCTTGTGACTTTTTTGATTCAGTACAAGATGTAATTGGCAAACAAGTTCTTAGTTTACTTATTAAGGAGGTTTTGTACCTCATGTGGATTTTGTTCTTCCTCTTTGAAGAAATCTGGAAAACAGGTTTTATAAAGTGAAAAATCATTTATTCATCTTGATCTGACTTTTCTCACCATCATTTTAGAAATTGCCTTGATATGAAGTGTAATGTAACTCAGAAGGCTGAGTCATCAGACTCTTCTATGCTGTTTTTTATAAATAGGACTGAACTTTGGAAAGATTATTTAACAAGTCACATCTTTTGCATTCTAAGGCAAGTCCAGGTTGTAAACCAGCAAATATGATTGTTTCCACCTTTCATTAAGTAAATGCAAGTCAGACATTCAACGAGTACATGCAGTGTTGTGCTGCTGTAGAACTATTATGCCTAAAAGCCTTATTCTTGCCTCCTATTGTGAGTAATTACTCTTAGATGAAATTCTTAAATGCTAAACTGAAACAGTGCTAGACAGTGCTAGCCTGGCTCACACAGGTTTAAAGTAAAATATTCATATGAAATACCAACCTACAGCACTTTGATCCATGAGATTCACAACACGTCCTTGAGTGGCCATGGTTCTCCATCATGCGCTTCTCAATATGTGAGAAGGAGAGTCGCCATGTGTTTCCTAAAGTTGAACACAAGACTGTTTAACTGTTATACAGCACTAAGTATTGGCATTTGTATCTAGAAAAAAAAAGACACTTTGCAATTGCCTTAATATTAAATATCGGCAATTTCTTTGCCCCTGTAAAAAAAAAAATCATAATTCAGTGGCCACAGTTAGTTAGCTTTTCCTTAATTCCCCAGCTGCTCTACAGAAACGCAATTAGAATGTAATTAATATAGAACATAATTAATTGTGTGAATACTTTAAATTCCTAATATTTGGATTTACTTCAAAATTAAGCTTAATTCTGAACTTCCTGAATTTGCTGAACATGATTTGCAGAATTGCACTACCCATAGAAATCTATGACATTTGAATTTCTGTATCCTGACTGTGTTTTCTGGTTTTTCTTTGTGCAATAGGCTTGTGAGTTTATCTCAAGTATGGTGGCTGTTCTAAAGCACTTATTTTTGTTCTTCTAGTCGTGCTTCTGAAAATAATTGCTAACATAGCTCAACACCCTGTTTTTAACACCAGCAATTATTTTTGTCTTCCTTACATGACTTACACTGTTTGCCTTGCCTGTTTGGCTCAGTTACTCTGCATTTAGTTTGCCCAGGAAGAGATAACCCAGTACAGTAGTAATGATTTATTTAGCACTGATAACATGGGCATGCTAATTAAAAAAATACCAGATTGACTGTTTTTGCTAAATCATTTCTCATAATGCAGTGACAAGTCAGGATGTTTCTGCAAACTAATGTAAGCTTGGTGTGTCAGTGGTCTGGAGGAAAAAAAACATTAAAATGTTGTAGCCATTCCAGAGATCAATGAGAAATAATGTATCTTGATAGAAAAGTACAGTTTGCTTCCTGCAGAAGTATCTGATTTCTGTGTGCAGTCCCACGTGCAGGGATATTCCCTGCCTTTTTAGAAGCCTTTTTATTTTCCTTCTTTGCAAAACAAAGGAGTGTATGATGCTGTTTATTATAGCGCAAGCATAAGGAAGGTTCATATCCATGTGTCTGACTGGAGTAGATTTAATATAATGCTCTTAGGAATGGCTAGTGTACAGCCTGCCAGAGCAGTTTGTGTTTAGATTTCCATACGAGACAAGCAGTATCACAAGTCTGATGTTTTAAAGAGGGATTTCAGTTATCTTTGATCTGGATATATCCAGAATGAGATAAAGATCTGTACCTCAAAGGCACAGATCTGGACACCCTTTCTATAGCACTTGAAAGTGATCAAACTGTAGAGAAGGCATTTCATAACTTATTATTGTCCATATTTGAGGTACCTTTTAGAACCTTTTCTCTTTTGTTTTGCTTGGCTACTAAATAAAGTGCTGTAAATTTGAAATCTCTCCTGGCTTTTGTTCCCAGCCACTGTTCAATTTTGAGGCCGTCCTGTGTGCTGGGCGGCCAGCTGTGCTGAACTTTCAAAGTCAAGATGATGTCCACCGATATATCCAATGGAGGATTTTTGATCTGAAGAGTTATTGCAGGGCTTCCAGCCTTTTTCCTTGTCACAGTTACCTCCACATCTAGTAACAAAGAAGAGTGATTTTTCATGTTAGATATATATAAACACATGTATATAAGGCACCTTTTTTTGAAGAATGTTAAGGTTTTTACTAATTAGAAATTCATAATCAATCAAAAGACATACGTAGGTTCAGTTGCTGGCTCGTTATCCTACAGGATATGGTTGTTAAATAAAACATTAAGAAGGCCTTTTGATGAGCTCTATGAAATTGGGAGCACTACTTTTGAATTGCTGTGTTTGCTTGATTTACTGTCTAACAACCAGAAACAGTAATGTTTTCCAGTGACCTGCTTCACTGTTGAAAACACATACTGAAAAGATTTGGCCACAATGTTTCTGAAAGCTTTGGAGAAAAATAACCCTAAAAGGGGATACATTTCCTGTATCGATATAATATATTAGGTAATATATAAAAGAAATTTCTTTGTTGTGTACAAAAAGCCACTTGCAGAACAGGTGCAAAATAAACAGGTCATGTAGGAAGTACCAAGCATACAGTAGTACCCATAATATTTATTATTTTCATATGGAAAGAGGATTGCATAGTGGACTTAATCACATAATATGAATAGATCTGATGTATTTGTGATTCTTAACACAAGACCAAACTTGAGATACTCAGGACAGGAGGAGTTACAGCTCCATTGCCATGAAGAGACAGTTGACGGGGAGAAAAATCCATTTTATTAACAAGAGGGCAACGCACGTGCACAATGTAACTGGATTTTTAGCACTCCTAGGTGAAGCTTGTTCTCTCAGTACTTACTTTTAAAGTTTTTTACTTCTTGCTTAATAATTTCTCTAAGTGCTTGAAGCATTTTAAAGGCTGATAGTTTTCCATCTTCATCTAAAAACTTCAAAAAATACTTTTCTTTTGGATTTCTTTTGAATGTTAGGTAATAATAGGCTCCTGTGTCATCAGACTCATCCAGCTGAAGGCTTTCAACACATATTACAAACATGATGTCAAATTCATTTGGTTGAGATATCTGCAAAGTAGGAGAATACAACAGTGAATGTGCAACTTGAGTTTTATTCTCTTTAGACTTTTATACCAATTGTATTATTTACCTACAACTGTCTTGATGTACTTCTCGTGTCTGGTGTGAAATATGAGCTTATTTGTATTTGGATTTGTATTGCAAGATTCCTGTGCATTTGGGTGGAGAAAAGCAATTTGCTGATAGCAGTTCACTTCCCATCTTTCCAACTTATTAATTTTTAAAAGAGCTTTAAGATTCTCAAGCTGTTCTGAGTAATGCATAAACGCTGAACTCAGTTATCCTTTTGCACACAGGAATTAACCATGAGAAAAAAATGCATTGCTATGTCTGAAGCCATTTTTATACCACCCCCCCACCACAAAAAAAAAGAAGGGTCCACATATTTGACTTTGTTCCAGGGTGTGCTGGAATCAGAAAAAAAGGTACTGCTTAATCAGTCCAAACCTCCCTGCCTTGGGCAGTGACACTTTGATGTCTCAGGAGCAACTTCCCACTAGATCAGGTTACTCAAGGCCTTATCCAACCTGGCTTTGAACACTAGCAGGGTTGGGGCATCCACAGCCTCCCTGGGCAACCTGTTCCAGAGTCCAACCACCCTCACAGTACAAGATTTCTTAATATCTAGCCTAAATTTCCTCTCTTTCAATTTGTATCCATTATTCCTGCTTTTTGGAAAAAGTATAAACTAAAAACTGGCACAGGGTCTTTCGTGTAGCGCTATACTGACGGGTCCTGCGGTTACATCGAGCTCACCTGCGTGTCATGCAAGAGCGGGGCTTGCCACTCTTTGCTGCAGGGAGTCCCGTTAAGGCAGCGTCTCTAACTGAATGCACATACGTACACACCTTTCAGTAGGTTATTTATGATTTTATAAAGCATTGAGGTTAATTAACGGAGCCCCGCTACAGTTTTACCTTGTCGGGAAGGGCCGGCTCAGAGCTGCTGTGGAGCGGCAGGAGCAGCGCGCTGCCGGCCCGTGGGAGCCGCCCGCAACCTGCGGCCGGAGCCCGGCCCCCGCACCCGGGCGGGACGGAGGGCGAGGCGCAGCCGGCGCCCCCGAACCCACCTTGACGCGCTCGTAGTAGCTCCCGGCGCTGTACTGCTCCATGGAGCTGAAGGCGCCGTCCCTGCTCCGGATAGTCTGGAAGAGGTGCGGAACCACCAAATTCACCAGCTTCGACGCCTCGGACACGTCCTTGCGGCCCAGGCTGAGCCGCGACAGCACCTCGCGGAGCCGCAGGGTGTCCGGCGGGGGTCGGGGGACGGCCACGGGGGCAGCGGCCGCCCCGTCGGGCACCACTGGGACCTTCTGCGAGGCCTCCGGGACTCTGGCGGCCGGCGCCCTGCTCCGAGGGGTAAGGGGTGGCTCTACGCCGGCCGCCGGGAGGGCCGTGGCAGTGGGGGCTCGCCGCCCTGGGCGCCCACCCCGGGCGGGGGGTCCATCCGTCCGCGGCGCCTGGCGGGTCGTGGCATCGCTCGGGCTTTCGCCCGCGACGCGGCCCCGCGAAGGGCTGCGGGCTGCGCTCCTCGGGGCGCCCCGGCCCCGCGAAGGGCTGCGGGCTGCGCTCCTCGGGGCGCCCCGGCCCCGCGAAGGGCTGCGGGCTGCGCTCCTCGGGGCGCCCCGGCCCCGTGAGGCGCTAAGGGCTGCGGTCGTCGGCGCACCCCGGCCCCGTGAGGCGCTAAGGGCTGCGGTCGTCGGCGCGCCTCGGCCCCGCGAAGGGCTGCGGGCTGCGCTCCTTGGGGCGCCCCGGCCCCCCGGAGCTGCGGTTCGCGACCCCCGCCTGCCCCGCGCCCGTGTGCCGCCCCTGCCGTCCATGGCCGCCGCTCCCTCTCCGCACCCGGAGGACGGCGAGCGCGGCCCCACCGACGGGGAGTTCCCGCCTCTGGCCTCGGGCGAGTTCCTCTTCCAGGCAACGCGCCTTCGTTAGGAAACGAAACCCGCCCGGATCTGCCGGTTCTGTCCGGGCACAGCAAAACTCTGACATCAACAGCCAGGCTGCGCCGAGACATCGAGGGGCGCAGCCACCTCCCCCTCTCCAATCCGTAGAGATCATTTTCCCGCTCCGGGGCGGCCCTTCCCCGCCTCCCCTCGGGCGGGGCAGAGGCGCATGGACGCGCCGCTCCCGCCCACGGAGCTCCCGGCTCCGCCTCCCGTCTCTAGCGGAGGAGCGACGGTGGCTTCCAGCCCCGCGCCCGCCGCCGGGAGGGCCGGCCCTGCCCTGCCGCCATGTTCTTGCGGAGAGGCTGCCGCCGGCTGGCACTGCCCCCGGTGCCTCGCCCAGGGCACCGCCGGGCCGGCAGCGAGGTCGGGGAGGCGGCACCGCGCTACGACGTGCTGGTGGTCGGCGGGGGCCATGCGGGGACGGAGGCGGCGGCGGCAGCCGCCCGCGGCGGGGCCCGCACGCTGCTGCTCACGCACAGGATCGGCACCATCGGTACCGCCGCGGGTGTCCGGGCTGGGGCGGGGGAAAGAACCGCGGGCGCCTCGGGTCTCCCCGGCGTGGGGGCTTTTGGGCGGCGGTGGCGAGGGTGTCCCTGTGTCCCTTCCCTAGGGGAAATGTCCTGCAACCCGTCCTTCGGCGGCATCGGGAAGGGGCACCTCATGCGGGAGGTGGACGCTCTGGACGGGCTGTGCGGCCGCATCTGCGACCGCTCCGGCATCCACTACAAAGTGCTGAACCGCTGCAAGGGCCCGGCCGTGTGGGGCCTCCGCGCACAGATCGACCGCGGCCTCTACAAGCAGAACATGCAGGTGAGAGCGGGGCCGGGAGGATTTTTTGGTATCAGGTGTTAATATAAACTACTGAAGATAATGAGGGAGGGGCGCGTGTGTTATTTGTCATTATTTACCTATCAAACCTAGATACGTTTATGTTTGGTACTTCAATGCACTGTAGGTTGTTAGAGCTCGGCATACTTTAAAACATTCTCCAGCATTTTAGATACAGGCCAGGCTTCATGACCAAATAGTTTCTTTTGAGCTTATCTGAAAGAAAACTTCCACTTGATCAATCAGAATAGTACCATAACTGAGTATCTTCCCAATGACGTGGTAAGAAAGGAAGAGGGTGATAGATGTTCTGGAAATCAACAGGATTTGGAATTGCCCATATGTCTTATAACTTCCTAGATTTTTGCAGTAACTCCTTTCATGACAGAAAGAAATCCTTAACACACCACTGTTGACAGTTCGTGAGGCATCTGTGGAGGATCTTATCTTGACAGAGCCAGAATCAGGCCATCCTGGGAAATGCCAAGTCACGGGAGTCGTTCTGGGTATGTGTTAGTAACTCAGTAAGTGCTTCCAGTGGAGTTATCCTTTGGGATAAACATTTCTGATTCATCAGTGAGAAAGATGAATTAACCAAGACGTCTGTTTTAGGCAGAGCGTGGACTAAACAGGGTTAATAAGTGTCATACAAAGTAATACAATGACAAAAATACCTGGATTGATAGAATATTGGGAGGTTACCTAAGTTAGTTTTCTTCAGGCTAGTGATACTGAATTCCATTCTGCATTTTGAGGTTTTTATTTGGTAAATGGCATATGCTGTTGACAATGTTATGGGACTGTGGGGTCCTATTACTAACAGACTCGTACTTTCTTACCTCTTACTCTTCTAATAAACAAGCTTTCTGAAGTAAAGGCCTGGATATGATTATTTTCCCAGGAGCGGGTTTTCTGTGTTACAGGTAACTTGTTTAGGAATAATAAAAATACAGGAATAAATACACAGTGCTTCTTGCAGTTACTACTGTTAGTGCTTTCATTATTGAAATGCTGCTTTTGTTGTGTAACAGAAGATGGGTAAACCCTCAGTGAACACAGTTAGTCTAGTTTTATGCAGAAGCACCAGAATACGAGGACTTTGTTGATACTAAAATATGTACCTTTTTGAAAATTTGCTGTTTCAGGGGATGGGAGCACAGTACACGCTGGGAGCGTTGTCCTGACCACCGGTACCTTTCTGAGGGGTATGATCCACATTGGGCTAGAGATGCACCCGGCTGGCCGGCTAGGGGACCTGCCAGCCATTGGGCTAGCTCAGACTCTGGAGAAACTGGGATTTGCTGTGGGCAGGCTGAAGACCGGGACACCGCCCAGACTTGCCAAAGACACGATTGACTTCAGTGGTCTGCAGGAGCATAGAGCTGACAATCCTCCAGTGCCATTCAGCTTCCTCAGTGAGGCTGTGTGGATCAAGGTGGGATAGCACACATCAAATGCACACAGAGTCAGGTGGGGAGTGGTTCCGGGAATGTCGTGCTCATAATCAGCCAGGGATTTGGTGGCTGGGAAAGGGAGCTGGGATGTATTTGTACTGGAGGTGCTATGTTTCTGAGGACTCTCAATGCAAAGGGTTCTTCTGTTGCTTGTGTTCTTTTGAAAGCAAGTACCTTCTTACTGTATCTTCTCAACTTGAGAACCAAACTTTTTTTACTTCTCGAGTCAGAGTTGCATGAAATGGGATACTGATACTAGTATTCTTCATGTGCTGGTTACATAGGTGCTTTACAAAATACATGTGTTATTATACCTGTATTCTGGAGATTTATAATATCTTGCTTCTTCCCTTAGCTTTAAAATAAGGTTAAAATGTTGAAATTAGAGATCATTAATAGTATTGACGAAGAAAGAGAAAGAATAGAGTTGTCCACAGGACTCGGAAGTGACATATTAACAGTAACTTAAAAGCACAAAAAGCTCAATTTTCAAAGAAATTTTGTTTCCAAAGAAAATTCTTACATAATGTAGTTGAATACCACAGAGTTAAGTATCAGGAGTTAATTTTCCCCAGAGCATATAGGAATTGCAGTAGCCTATTAGAATCAGGATGTGGGCAAAAGTACTATCACTTGAAGTCCTTGGTATGTGTAGGAAAGGTTTTAAGAGGTTAAGGTGCAACGTTATTACTTTTTGAATGTGAATGTATTGACCCTTTCAGAAAAATCAGTCAAATACTTTACGTGGTAGGGTTTTTTCCCCAGATTTTGAATTTGTCATGTTAATTGCAGAGTTTTGAGATTTTTATCTTTTTTTCTTCACCGAGAGATTTCTTTTTTTTTTTCCTTCACTAAAATCTTTTATTGGCTGTTAGCTGTAGGGTCAGCACTTTTTCTTCTTACTCCAGAGCTTTGAATTCCTGTAGTCAGTTTGAATGCTGTGATATGATGTGTTGCTTTAATGGCAATATCCATCCTGTAATTAGGACTACATATGTGGAATAAAATTTGAATTCTGCACGCCCAAGTTCTGTTCTGTTCTCAGTCTGCTTTTGGCCATGTTGCTCCCGCTCTCTGATTGCTCATGTTCTGTCTGTACAGTGGGCATGACAGCGCTACTTAGCTCTCCAAGAAGTGAGAGCCAGCTGTCATGGAAAAGGTATTGGAGATCCTCAGAGTTGTTCAGGTAGAGTACAGTGTTGTGACTGGATTAACTTAAAGTGAGCTTTGGCCTCTTTCAGCCAGAAGGTCAGCTGCCATGTTACCTGACACGCACTACCCTGAAAGCCCAGCAAATTATCTATGATAACCTCCACCTGAACAACCACGTAAGGGAGACAACAAGGGGCCCACGGTAAGTGTGTGGCATCACTCAAGGCTCTCAAGGGGACAAGTGTCAATCTGTTTGAACCTGGGGGAATGTGCTGCTTTGCTTTTGCAAAGTTACTTTTTCTCCGTGTCAGGTGGTGCTCATGGCCATTTTCTGTTGCAGGTACTGTCCCTCTCTTGAATCAAAGGTTCTGCGCTTCCCAAACCGGCAGCATCAAGTCTGGCTGGAGCCTGAAGGCTTGGAATCCAACATCATTTACCCCCAAGGCATGTCCATGACACTGCCACCTGAGCTCCAAGAGCAGGTGATCAAATCTGTCCCAGGCTTGGAAAAAGCCAAGATGATACAGCCAGGTGAGGGAGATGAACAGTTTTAAATCTATTTGTTACATTGTTTACCATTAGTGAAAACCAGATTTTGTTTAGAATATAGCAAAGCAAAGGAAATACAAAACAAAGCTAATTCTTGGTTGCAGGGATTTTTCCTTGGTTGTTTTGAAATCGTAATTAAAAGTTGAAAAGCTAAGTCATCCTGCCCCACTGATTGCCTTTGCTGACCTTCAAAATCCCTCCTGTAACATCTGTCTTGTTGTGTGTCATAGGCTACGGGGTGCAATACGATTTTTTAGATCCCCGTCAACTGACTGCTTCCCTCGAGTCTCGTCTTGTTCAGCGCCTCTTCTTTGCAGGCCAGATAAATGGCACGACAGGCTATGAAGAAGCTGCAGCTCAGGTGGGTGAATCTGACCACGTGTAGTCAGCACTCAGAAAAGGGATATTGCCTTGGCATCTGTCGGTGATACAGAGTCCTGCGAGGCCCATTTTTTGCTCCTGAGATGTTCCTACTTTTGTTGGAACAAAATATTCCAGACTTGCCCAAGATATTTTTACTTTTAGTATCTGCAGTGCTGTCACTAAGACTGCAGTAACAAAAGTAACTGGAAGCACTGTCAAGTCTTTCAGCATGGAGACAGTGCAGCAGATATAATTGAAAACATGGGAATTGTATCCAGACACTTCAGCAGTTGCCAAGAATCCCGTCAGGCACTCATAGTGTCACAAGAAGGACACTGCCTGGATTACTAGCACAGACTATTGCATTTTTCTGGGTACAGTTTGACATGTGAGTCTTTGGAAGCAGATGTGCTGATATTTTAGCTAAGAAGAGACCAATAAATGTGTTTGGTTTGTTTTCTGTCTGCCTAGGGTGTGATTGCTGGGATCAATGCCTGCCTGCGGGTTCATGGCAAGCCCCCTTTTGTT